GAGGGTGAGACAGGGCCGTCAGGGTGAGACAGAACTGTGAGGGTGAGACAGAGTCATGAGGGTGAGACAGAGCCATGTGGGTGAGACAGAAGTGTGAGGGTGAGACTGGGCCGTGAGGGTGAGAAAGAGCTGTGAGGGTGAGACAGAAGCGTGAGGGTGAGACAGAGCCATGAGGGTGAGACAGAGCCATGAGGGTGAGACAGAGTCATGAGGGTGAGACAGAGCCATGAGGGTGAGACAGGGCCATCAGGGTGAGACAGAACTGTGAGGGTGAGACAGAGTCATGAGGGTGAGACAGAGCCATGAGGGTGAGACAGGTCCGTCAGGGTGAGACAGAACTGTGAGGGTGAGACAGAGTCATGAGGGTGAGACAGAGCCATGAGGGTGAGACAGAGTCATGAGGGTGAGACAGAGCCATGAGGGTGAGACAGGGCCATGAGGGTAAGACAGGGCCATGAGGGTGAGACAGAAGTGTGAGGGTGAAACAGGGCCGTGAGGGTGAGACAGAGCTGTGAGGGTGAGACAGAAGTGTGAGGGTGAGACAGGGTCATGTCAACAGCAGGAAGACAGAAGGAGCAAAATGGCTGAGATTAAGACCAGGTTTTAAGAGAAACATCAAAGCATTTGTGTTTGGGGGGGGGGGGGGGGGAGACGATGGGGGGTAGAAGGGGGGAGATGATGGATGAGGGGTGAGGCTCAGGGTGAGTGATGACTGGTACTTATTTACGGCACGAAGACGCTATTTCTGAGATGAAAATTAAGAAAACATGGGAAAGTCTCAATGTTTTTATGGTTCACTCCAGAGACAAATACAGTGGGTCTAAAGGACTCTCTGGTCTCTGGTCTCAGCCTACAGACCCAGACCCAGACCCAGACCCGGCTCCACATGGTACAGATCAGTTCCTGACCAGTGAGTGGAATCAAAGGCTCCTCAGATTCTTCTTTGTCCTTTTGCATCGATAACTGCAGCAAACATCAAAGCCTCAGCTGGTCTGACCAGAGACCAGAGAGACCAGAGAGACCACCGGGCGGCACGGTGGCTGAGTGGATAGCACTCTCGCCTCTCAGCAAGAAGGTCCTGGGTTCAAATCCCGGTTGGATCAGGGCCTTTCTGAGTGGAGTTTGCATGTTCTCCCTGTGTCTGCGTAGGTTTCCTCCGGGTGCTCCGGTTTCCCCTACCACTAAAAATATGTACAATAGGTCTGGCATGTGCCTCCTGTACTGGCCCCGCTCCCAAAAAATAACAATTGTAAACCGCTTTGAGACTCCGATGTGCAGTGAAAAGGCGGTATATAAATAAAGATTACTTACTTACTTACAGAGAGACCAGAGACCAGAGAGACCAGAGACCAGAGAGACCAGAGAGACCAGAGAGACCAGAGAGACCAGAGACCAGAGAGACCAGAGAGACCAGAGAGAGACCAGAGAGACCAGAGACCAGAGAGACCAGAGAGATCAGAGACCAGAGAGACCAGAGAGAGACCAGAGAGACCAGAGACCAGAGAGACCAGAGAGATCAGAGACCAGAGAGACCAGAGAGATCAGAGACCAGAGAGACCAGAGACCAGAGACCAGAGAGACCAGAGAGACCACTGACCAGAGAGACCAGAGAGACCACTGACCAGAGAGTTTTTTTCTCTTTTTTTGAAGGTATTTTTCCAGAATAAGCCTATGTCAGTCCAAATGTCTTCAGGGTGAGACACCTTTAAACACACGTGTCCCACATGTACCATGTGTCCCACAAGCGTCACGCCGACGAATTGGCAGCCCGATCTGACCAGGATTACGTATATAAAAGCTCATTTATATGATAATGTGCGCCCCTAGTGGTTACCTCCGGGACATGCACCCTCTACGTAGAGTAGTATTTGGCTCGTACAGATGTAAAGATTTGATTTTGCAACTTTGGTGAAGATCGGAAAAGTTTAGGTCAGAAGCCTTCCATTGGTGGCGCTGTAGAGTCATATTAGGTGTGTGTTTTCACACCATTCTCTCAGGTCATTACCAACTGTTACTGATGTGAGTTTCAGCTCTGTAGGTCTGAGCCTGTGGTCAGGAGAGCATCAAACATGGAGAAATTCCCCACTACCTCGCATGAAAACGATGACAAAATCCTAACTTTTATGCGATGATTGCATAACTTCAATCCGTCCAGATGGAGAAATTACATGGTAGAAGTCTGTGCGATGAAAATCCAGGGACTAGTACGAAGCCAAAAATGCGACACCTTGAACTGCCTGTAGGTGGCGCTGTTGCACTCACAGTTGTGTGTTGCATATCGTTGTGTTCAAGGTCATACGCTGTATTTCTGAATTCATTTTTAGCCTCATCAGACAAACATTTCACCCCAAAAAGCTCATTCACATATTTTGAAGGCGCCCCCAGTGGTCAGGTGTGGGACTTACAACTTTTGCGTAATGTAATGTTTTGCTCGGCTCGGTCCAGAGAATACACTCAGCGATTTTCGGGCCAATCCGAGCACTAGTGCCCTATTACTTTCCGACAGGTGGCGCTAAAGAGCTCATATCGGGCGAATGATTTTAGTGTCATTGCGTTCAGGCCATAACCTAATATTACTGATGTGAGTCTCAGCTCTGTAGGTCTGAGCCTGTGGCCCTCAGGGCTCAGCGAAAATGGCCAAAACGAAGGCCTTATTCGCCATGGCGAGGGACAAAAACTGTGAAGATTTTCTAACTTTTTTTCAATGATTATATAACTTCAATCCGTCCAGATTAGGAAATGACGTGGTAGAACTGTGTGTTATGAAAAACCAGGGACTAGTTTGAAGTTAAAAATGAAATGTCAAATTAGTGGCGAAACTTTGGCCCATCATGGCCGACTTCCTGTTGGTCCCAGACATGTGCTTAGACCGGCTTTTATGCTCGTCTCATAGAGATCTATCACTCATCCGAATTTCGTGTAGCTACTCCAAAATATGCAATCCTGCCTCCAATAGAAATGGCAAATTTAGAATTTTCAAGGGGGTGCTATTGATTCGCCTTTTGTCGGACAATCTCAAAACGTCTGTTTTATCAAATGTTTCGCCGAACCGGTCGTTTTAGACCCCCCATGTGCAGACTTTCGTGCATGTCTTCAGGGTCAAAAATCGAATTGTTTCGGCGGAAAAAGCAGAATAATAATATGAAACCAACGAATAACAATAGGCTGTATTGGCTCGGCCAAATTATATTGTTCTGCCCCTCGTCAGCAACTGCCCCTCGTCAGGAACTGCCCCTCGTCACGAAGCAGAGTGTGGTGGAAAAGGAGGATTAAAGAAAGACGTGATGTGATTGGATTTGCTGAGCCTGAGAAGTGAGCGAGCGCCAAGAGAAACACAAACACGGTGAGAATCTGCAGGATCCGCTCAGCGTCAGGTCTAAGCCTCTTCACACGACACACACTGAGCACATGGGAACACACACAGAAGGGCAATCATGTGCAATACACAACCACATCTGTCTCTGTGCCAGGACCTCATGCTGCTAACATGCTAACAGGCTAACATGCTAACAGGCTAACATGTACAGATGTAAATATACTTTTATTATGTGTTTATGCTTTAGAATATACAGGATTTATACTAGCTTCTTTATTATGCTAAAGCTAGAGATGTTATACTAGCTTCTTTATTATGCTAAAGCTAGAGATTTTATCCTAGCTTCTTTATTATGCTAAAGCTAGAGATTTTATACTAGCTTCTTTATTATTACGTCAATACAAACTGGTGTAACCATGTGACAGTGATCTCCAAGCACTGCTCTCCTGCTCTGGAATATCTTTTCATTCATTGTAAACCATTTTACTCCCCGCGTGAGTTTGTTTCATTCATTCTTGCCTCTGTTTACATACCGCCATGCGCGGACGCAGAGCAAGTACTGTGTATGGAACGTTTATACCCGGACTCTCTGATTATTATCCTGGGGGATTTTAATAAGGGAATCTTGAGCCAGGAATTACCCAAATACAGACAGTTTATCAAATGCCCGACCAGAGAGGAGAACACTCTGGATCACTGCTACACCACCGTGCGCGGAGCTTTTCGCGCTGTTCCCAAGCCAGCCCTCGGCTTCTCAGATCACTCCATGATACATCTGGTTCCTGCTTACAGACAGAGACTAAAGCTCTCGAAACCTGCAGTGAGGAGCTCCAAAGTGTGGTCTGATGAAGCTGTGGAAGAGCTACATGCATGGAATCTACAGACTGGAACCTTTTCAGAGCTGCCACAGACAGTTTGGATGAATACACGGACACTGTGACGTCATACATTCACTTCTGTGAGGATAGCATCATTCCAACAAGGACCAGGGTCATCTATAACAACGACAAACCCTGGTTCACTGCTAAACTCCGGCAGCTCAGGAAAGCAAAGGAGTCTGCTTTCAGGGAGGGGGACCGCAGCGGCTACAAAGCAGCTAAATATCAGTTCAGGAAAGAACTGAAAGCAGCCAAGTCCCGGCACAGAGAACGACTACAGGAGCAGTTTGGTAAGTAAGTAAGTAAGTAAGTAAGTTTTTATTTATATACCGCCTTTTCACTGCAGATCTGAGTCTCAAAGCGGTTTACAATTGTTACTTTTGGGCATTTGTCTCTCACTCCACACAGAGATGGGAGCAGGGTCGCCAGTACAGGAGGCGCATGCTAGAACTATTGGACATATTTTTAGTGGTAGGGGAAACCGGAGTACCCGGAGGAAACCTACGCAGACACGGGGAGAACATGCAAACTCCACTCAGAAAGGCCCTGGTCCGACCGGGATTCGAACCCAGGACCTTCTTGCTGAGAGGCGAGAGTGCTATCCACTCAGCCACCGTGCCGCCCTAACAACGATACTGCTTCTGTCTGGAGGGGCCTACGGGAGATCACCAACTACAAACCCAAAGCCCCCCCCTGTGCTGATGACCACAAGCTAGCTGACGAACTGAACTTATTTTTCAGTCGCTTTGATGCTGCCCCTGACACCTCTCCCTCCCCCACCCCCCACTACTCTAACGACCCACCCATCAGCCCTGCCCCCAGCCTAACAATAGCCTCTAAAGAGATTAAACAACTCTTCCTGAGGCTGCACCCCCGCAAAGCTCCTGGCCCGGACCACGTGTCTCCAGCCACTCTGAGACACTGTCCCAGTGAGCTTACTCCTGTGTTCACGGACATTTTCAATACCTCTCTGCAGTCCTGCCATGTCCCGGCCTGCTTCAAATCCTCCATCATCGTCCCCGTCCCGAAGAAGCCCAGGATCACAGGACTCAATGACTACAGACCTGTAGCACTTACGTCTGTCGTCATGAAGTCATTTGAACGCCTGGTTCTCTCCCATCTCAAGTCCCTCACCTCCCCCCTCCTGGACCCCCTGCAGTTCGCCTACAGAGCCAACAGATCTGTAGACGACGCCATTAACCTGGCCCTCCACCACATCCTACAGCACCTGGACTCCCCGGGGACCTACGCCAGGGTCCTGTTCGTGGACTTCAGCTCTGCCTTCAACACAATCCTGCCATCCCTGCTCCAGGACAAGCTCTCCCAGCTCAACGTGCCCGATTCCACCTGCAGGTGGATCACTGACTTCCTGACGGACAGGAAGCAGCGAGTGCGTCTGGGGAAGAATGTCTCGGACTCTCGGATTATAAATACAGGAGCCCCACAGGGCTGTGTTCTTTCTCCCCTGCTCTTCTCCCTGTACACCAACCACTGCACCTCCAGCCACGACTCCGTGAAGCTGATCAAGTTCGCGGACGACACCACCCTCATTGGACTCATCTCCAACAACGATGAGTCCGCCTACAGGAGGGAGGTGGACCGGCTGGTGTCCTGGTGTCTCCTACAGGAGGGAGGTGGACCGGCTGGTGTCCTGGTGTCTCCTACAGGAGGGAGGTGGACCGGCTGGTGTCCTGGTGTCTCCTACAGGAGGGAGGTGGACCGGCTGGTGTCCTGATGTCTCCTACAGGAGGGAGGTGGACCGGCTGGTGTCCTGGTGTCTCCTACAGGAGGGAGGTGGACCGGCTGGTGTCCTGGTGTCTCCTACAGGAGGGAGGTGGACCGGCTGGTGTCCTGGTGTCTCCTACAGGAGGGAGGTGGACCGGCTGGTGTCCTGGTGTCTCCTACAGGAGGGAGGTGGACCGGCTGGTGTCCTGGTGTCTCCTACAGGAGGGAGGTGGACCGGCTGGTGTCCTGGTGTCTCCTACAGGAGGGAGGTGGACCGGCTGGTGTCCTGGTGTCTCCTACAGGAGGGAGGTGGACCGGCTGGTGTCCTGGTGCAGTGGTAACAACCTGGAGCTGAACGCCCAGAAGACAGTGGAGATGATTGTGGACTTCAGGAAGAGCACTGTCCCCCCGCCCCCACCCTCCGTGATGGACTCCCCCATCACCTCTGTGGAGTCCTTCCGTTTCCTGGGCACCACCATCACCCAGGACCTCAAGTGGGAGCCGACCATCAGCTCCCTCATCAAGAAGGCCCAGCAGAGGATGTACTTCCTGCGGCAGCTCAGGAAAGCCAAGCTGCAGTTCTACACGGCCATCATCGAGTCCATCCTCACCTCCTCCATCACCTCCTCCGTCACCTCCTCCATCACCTCCTCCATCACCTCCTCCATCACCTCCTCCGTCACCGTGTGGTTCGCTGGAGCCACAGTCAGGGACAAACAGAGACTACAGCGCATTGTGCGCTCTGCAGAGGAAGTGATCGGCCGCAGCCTTCCATCGCTGCAGGACCTGTACGTCGCCCGAGCTCGAGGCCGGGCTGGTCGTATCACAGCCGACCCCTCTCACCTGCACATGGACTATTCCAACCACTCCCCTCTCACCTGCACATGGACTATTCCAACCACTCCCCTCTCACCTGCACATGGACTATTCCAACCACTCCCCTCTCACCTGCACATGGACTATTCCAACCACTCCCCTCTCACCTGCACATGGACTATTCCAACCACTCCCCTCTCACCTGCACATGGACTATTCCAACCACTCCCCTCAGGCAGGAGACTGCGGTCCATCAGGACTAGAACCTCCCGCCACAAGAACAGTTTCTTCCCCTCTGCTGTTGGACTCTTGAACACTTCTTAACCTGTCCCCCCGCCCTTTATAAAGTCACTTTACTGCCCATCATACGTCACTTTACTTCACTGTACTGCTGTCACCTTACATTGTGTGCACCATGTGCACTTGGATATTGTAAATAGTAACTGTAACTCTATTTTAAATTTAAATCTATTCTTTAGAAGTGTTTTTTATTCTTTATTTTTATTATTTCTTTCTGACTGTTGCACTGAGCCAAAGCAATTTCCAAGTCTGTGACTTCTGTTACTTACGTGGCAATAAAAATGATTCTGATTCTGATTATGCTAAAGCTAGCTCCCTCTTCCGTACACAGAAGCCAAACAGATGCAAATGTGATCAATGATCATCAGCTGCAGATGTCGATGCAGCGTATGGATCCAGAGAGGACACATCAGAGAGGGAAATGTGCTGGAGGCCACTGGGTCTACAGCCTCAGACCTGGGTCTACAGCCTCAGTCCTGGATCTACAGCCTCAGTCCTGGATCTACAGCCTCAGTCCTGGGTCTACAGCCTCAGACCTGGGTCTACAGCCTCAGTCCTGGGTCTACAGCCTCAGTCCTGGGTCTACAGCCTCAGTCCTGGGTCTACAGCCTCAGACCTGGGTCTACAGCCTCAGTCCTGGATCTACAGCCTCAGTTCGGTGTAAATGGGTCAAACTGGGATCAAACACAAACTACTCCGAAAAACCACCAGATTAATCAATAATTATAATGTGTGTTTAGGAGATCAGAACAACACTAAAGTGGAAGTTCAGACTGGAACTGTCCTTAAGTCCACCTGTCAATCATGCTGCCCTCAAGTCCCGCCTCAAGCATCGGCTTACTATCTATGATGTCTGCTGTGACTCTATGATATCTGTGACTCTATGATGTCTGCTGTGACTCTATGATGTCTGTGACTCTATGATGTCTGCTGTGACTCTATGATGTCTGTGACTCTATGATGTCTGCTGTGACTCTATGATGTCTGTGACTCTATGATGTCTGCTGTGACTCTATGATGTCTGTGACTCTATGATGTCTGCTGTGACTCTATGATGTCTGTGACTCTATGATGTCTGCTGTGACTCTATGATGTCTGTGACTCTATGATGTCTGCTGTGACTCTATGATGTCTGTGACTCTATGATGTCTGCTGTGACTCTATGATGTCTGTGACTCTATGATGTCTGCTGTGACTCTATGATGTCTGTGACTCTATGATGTCTGCTGTGACTCTATGATGTCTGTGACTCTGTGATGTCACATGTAGAGCCAATGAAAAGGACTGAAACACTGATGTGAGTCGCTCATTGATGTTTCCTCTGATGTGGTCTCATCTCCTCTGTACCATCAGATATTTATATGTGAGAGAGAGTCAGAGTCAGAGACAGAGACAGAGGCAGAGGCAGAGACAGAGGCAGAGACAGAGACAGAGACAGAGGCAGAGGCAGAGGCAGAGACAGAGGCAGAGACAGAGGAAGAGGCAGAGACAGAGGCAGAGGCAGAGGCAGAGGCAGAGGCAGAGGCAGAGACAGAGACAGAGGCAGAGGCAGAGGCAGAGACAGAGGCAGAGGCAGAGGCAGAGACAGAGGCAGAGACAGAGGCAGAGGCAGAGGCAGAGGCAGAGACAGAGGCAGAGGCAGAGGCAGAGGAAGAGACAGAGACAGAGGCAGAGACAGAGACAGAGGCAGAGGCAGAGACAGAGACAGAGACAGAGGCAGAGGCAGAGGCAGAGGCAGAGACAGAGACAGAGGCAGAGACAGAGACAGAGACAGAGGCAGAGGCAGAGACAGAGGCAGAGACAGAGGCAGAGGCAGAGGCAGAGACAGAGACAGAGGCAGAGGCAGAGGCAGAGGAAGAGGCAGAGACAGAGGCAGAGGCAGAGACAGAGGAAGAGACAGAGACAGAGACAGAGGCAGAGACAGAGGCAGAGACAGAGGCAGAGACAGAGACAGAGGCAGAGGCAGAGGCAGAGGCAGAGACAGAGACAGAGACAGAGACAGAGACAGAGGCAGAGACAGAGGCAGAACACACACACACATACCCCGGGGGTCGGTCCGGACATGTGTATTTCCAGTGCGCGGCTGTTCCGTGCGTCCTCCGCGGACCCGTTTCCTCCGCTCCACGCCGCCACGGAGCAGTTCGGGTGACGGTCCGCGCATAGGAGGCTCCTGAGGCCCGAGAGACCCGCGGGGGGCACCGGATCCCCTCCGGTCATCGCTACGGGCTGCTCTGTCCCGGGGAAGAGCGTGCGTAAAAAGTGTGCCTGGCGTGCGCTCTGCTTCCGGTCCGCTTCTGGTCGGCTTCTGGTCTGCTTCTGGTCTGCTTCTGGTCCGCTTCTGGTCGGCTTCTGGTCTGCTTCTGGTCTGCTTCTGGTCCGCTTCTGGTCTGCTTCTGGTCTGCGTATGGTCTGCTTCTGGTCCGTTTCTGGTTCGCTTGTTTGTGGCTTCTGCTGCTGCTGTTACAAGCTTCACGTGGAAAGTGATGGAGAGATGAGAGAGGAGGGAGGAGAGAGAGGAGAGAGAGGAGGGAGGAGAGAGAGGAGAGAGAGGAGAGAGAGGAGGGAGGAGAGAGAGAGAGGAGAGAGAGGAGGGAGGAGAGAGAGGAGAGAGAGGAGAGAGAGGAGGGAGAGGAGGGAGGAGAGAGAGGAGGGAGGAGAGAGAGGAGGGAGGAGAGAGAGGAGAGAGAGGAGAGAGAGGAGGGAGAGGAGAGAGAGGAGGGAGGAGAGAGAGAGGAGGGAGGAGAGAGAGGAGGGAGAAGAGAGAGAGGAGAGAGAAGAGAGAGAGGAGAGAGAGAGGAGGGAGAAGAGAGAGAGGAGGGAGGAGAGAGAGGAGGGAGAAGAGAGAGAGGAGGGGGAGGAGAGAGAGGAGGGAGAAGAGAGAGAGGAGGGAGAAGAGAGAGAGGAGGGAGGAGAGAGAGGAGAGAGAGGAGGGAGGAGAGAGAGGAGGGAGAAGAGAGAGAGGAGA